TATTCCAGATGCTGCAACATAAAATGTAAAACCTGAACTTGTTAACTGGAAATTACACCAGGACCACAAAACCTCTGAAATACACATGACTTCATCAAATTATTCAAAATCCCATGGGTAAGGTAAAGTTTAAACCAAGGAAATACAATAGCTACAGTGCTAAACCACAATGCCAATTAATTTTTATTCATTGATTTTTGAGAGCATGTTTTATTTATCACTCCTACATCTTTTACTCCTTTTGTTTCGAGCATGATGCAGAGTTCTTTAAAGATATGCAAGCTGCTTGAAGCCTTTGCACACATATTGGAGACAATTTTCCTTATCTATCTCTATCTGGCTGTTTTTGTTGTTGTTGTTGTTGTTGTTTTTTCCCTTGCTGTGTTCTGGGCATATGTCCTTCAGGCTAATTTCAATCATCCTGCCCTTTACTTCAGCACATTTAGAAAGCTCATTTGTCCTTACCATCAACAACAGTGAATCACTCTATTTATGTTTTTCTGACTTCCTCCATCCAGTGGTCTATTTGGAAAGCAAAACAGGACATGTGTTCAGGGTGATTTTCCTTATTGAACAGAGCTTTACCTTTTTGTTATTTCATGTTTGCATTTAGGCAAATGAAGAAGATTTCATTGTTCTAGGGATTGTTGTACTTGACACTATGTTTTGAGTATAAAATCTGGTGGCTCTGTGGACGTAAACTCCTAAAGCAAGGCTCCAGTATTGCTGATGCAGGATGTTAGCTACCTGGGTAGTTAGCAGAAAGTTACAGGGCTCATTGTCATTCCCAGGAGCAGTGATGGGTGAGTTGGTTAGGTAATGGACACTTGATGAAGTTTATTTGTTGAAAAGTTCATATCCATTGTTTCTGTCGATGAGTTGGGGGCCTTTTTATGCTTGAGCTCCCTATCTGGCTTTATATCTTACGTGTCTACATTGCTTTTGTTCGGAATCTCCTACTTCTATGCTATACTCATGTGAAAAAAGGAATACTCCAGTTGCATCTGGAAAGGGCCCATGATCAGAAGTAAAGTGGAGCTGTGTTTGGTGGTGGAGAGCCCATTCTTCACGTGGAGAAGGTGAAAAAAAATCCAATATACAGGATCATTAATGGATCCCATAACACATAATAATAGCAATTCCATTCCAGCTGGAGAATATGCACATCCATCCCACCCTTTGAATATTGTTCATACATATGTTTTAGCATTGTAGGAGTGAATAATAGAAAATTGTTAAAAGCACATCTTGTGGGAATGCAGTTTATAAACACCACTTCATTTGCACTCACAGCACCCCGATGAGTCACTGCTGGGGACTCTGTTTCTCCAGGACAGGGTAGGTGACAGTAAGGAGAGGGCAGATAACAGTGCTTGGGAAATAACTTGCTTAAGATCATAACTGTGGATCTGTGATCAGAACTGAAATTACACCTGGTTGCCCTATGTAAAAGACTGAAAATATGACCAACATTGAATAAACTATAATAACAAACTGCTTAGCAGGTGAGGCACAACCTTCAGATGTTTAGAATTGGAAGGGGTTTTAGAGGTTCTTCAATTCAAGCCTTTCCTAATAGATGAGGAAACCAATACCCTGGAAAGTTTCATGGTATCTGTGAGCCTTTTGGTGTCCTTAAAACTTGCTCTAGTGCTTAGAAAAGATGATTTAAAGGGTTACTTTCATTTTGAATATTAATATTCAATTTATTAAAATTACAAATTCAAAAACCCAGTTTTCTCTTAAACCCTTATATTCCATTTGCAAATCTAATTATTCTTTTACTAAATCTAGCAAATTTAGCAATCCCTTTTAAAGGGTTTTTTTTTAACAACCTAGTTAATTAAATTGCTCAAATATTTTAAACTGCACTTATAAATTTAATATATTCTATTTTCTTTTTAACTACCTAAATTGTCTAACAAATAGACTTACCCACGTGCTTAAGTAACACTCATCAATCTCATAAATTAAATTTATAAATATGGTAGATCTTAATTCTTCCGTATGTTACAATATTATTTAAGAATTTAGAAAAATTCTCACTGCTACCAACTTGAAATTAGTTTTAAAGCTTATGCATCATTTTAAACTTGAATCATAGAAATGATATCTTAGATACTCTGTGTACTCTATGTTGAATTCTCTTTAAACAGCTCTAATGGTATAATTAAAATACCAATGATCAAAATATTCTTAACACTAACAAAATCTAATAATATTATGGGACTAATTTACTTCATTATTTCTGTACTTTATTCTAAATTTCCCTGGGATTAAATAACATTTTCACCTGATAGGTGAAAAAAGAAAGTCATATCAAGGAAAATGGCATCTCTTTCCTAGCATGGGTGAGTTATGGACCCAAAGGAGTAAAAGCAAACTACTTCATTCTTGCCAAAGTCACTGCCCTGTAGATTGGTGTAATCACAGGCTTCAGAATTTATAAGGGGGGTTGGTCTCATATCTCCATCCCCCGATTTAAGTAAGACAGCAACTGAGTTTCTTGGTCTCTCCTTACAAAGGTATAACCATCTCGGGCACATAGCTAAAAGTAGATTTTTTTTTTCATGGTGCTTTCTTAAGACATGGGATCTTCTCTGGAACACCACACTCTTATGTAATCCTTCCCATCCCTCTTTAGATTAGATAGAGGCTGAGTCTGTATTCTTGACAAGTGTTTCCTTTCTGGCAGGACTAAAACGTGCATAGTTATTAAAAGCATTTCCAATTGGATTTGTGTCTGTTGCAGCCTTGGATGGGTTCCCACAAACTAAAATCATGTCCCATTCCTACCCACAGAGGACACCCTCTCCTCTCTGCCAAGTGCTGCATCCCAGTATCTGTTCCCTTTACTGGTGTAGCCATCAGACTTCTGAAAAATTAGTTACAAGAGATATAAGACAAACAGAAGCATTTATGCAAATTTGAAGTCTCTAAAGCTAGTATGGAAATACAACAGTTTAAACAGTCTGTTAATGATCATGTTTTCAAACTGGGTAGGGGTTATGTTGTGAAAGGTAGTACCTGCCAAGGTTTTCTGAAGCCAGGGTACCTGAGTTTGCCCCTTCTGCTCCACTTCTTAGTGCTGTGTGATCTTACAGAAGTCGATGATACCTGTTTCATCTGTAAAATGATAAGATTTGCTTTATAATACTGCTGTTTGAATTAAATCCACTAGAATGAAAGCTTCATAAAGACAATTTTGAACAAAAGCCTAGCCAGGTGTGGTGGTGCACACTTGCAGTCCCAGCTACTTGAGAGGCTGAGGTGTGGGGATCACTTGAGCCTAGGAGTTGGAAGCTGCAGTGAGCTCTGATTGTGCCACTGCAGTGCACTCCAGCCTGTGCAACAGAGCAATAACCTGTCTCAGAGAAAAAAAAAAAAAATGACAACAGTTTTGTCTGTTTGGTTATTGCTACATTCATAGCATGTAGAGTAGTGCCTGGATATTATATATACTCTGAAACCATTTGCTTATTTAGCTAAATGTAGAGTGCTTAAAAAGTGGGTGGTAGAAAATGTGCAATAAAAGTTGGTTTTCTATTATGCTTTAGTGACAACCTGCCCATAGTCATTTGCAGATTTCTAATCTTATACAGGTACTTATTTATTAGAAAACAGTTGGCTGGGCATGGTGGCTCACATCTGTAATCCCAGCACTTTGGGAGGTTGAGGTGAGTGGATCACCTGAGGTAAGGAGCTCAAGACCAGCCTGGCCAACATGGTGAAACCCCATCTCTACTAAAAGTACAAAAATTAGCTGGGTGTGGTGGTGGGTGCCTGTAATCCTAGCTACTTAGGAGGCTGAAACAGGAGAATAGCTTGGACCCGGGAGGGGGAGGTTGTAGTGGGCCGAGATTGTGCTACTACACTCCAACCTCGGCAACAAGAGTGAGACTCCATCTCAAAAAAAAAAAAAAAAAAAAAAAAAAAATTGATTAATGATTCTCTTGCCAATAGTTTCAAACCTGTGTACTTATTTGTGATATGTGTTATTATCATCACCTGGAGAAGAATCTTGGGAAAGCTGAATTATACCAACACTTGGGTGCCCAGGTTATTTGTAATTTTCTGGGATTGTAAGTCATCTTTGCTTTACTGCTCAGCCTATCTGCAGCTTTCATTTTTCACTGGTTTTTCTTTTTTCTTTCCTTAAGCTTCCCTATTCCTAATCTTGATTCTCTCTTAGACCTTTTCCTCTGTTTCCTTTTTTCTTTAACTTTTAAATGGAGGCAATCTTTGAAGATCAATCTTAACCTGCTTATTTTTATAGTTCATCTAGCCTTTCTGGCCCATTTTATTGACTCATGTAGCTTTAAATAAATCTACTTTTATCCCTACCCCTGGGCATCTCCCAAGTCATAGGCTACTGTGTTCCCACACATAATAGTATAACATTTTTTTCACACATTTGAAATATGAGTGATTTTGAAATCCTCTTCTTCCCCCTCCAGAACCCTGATAACAGAGCCTTGTCTGTTCTGCCTTGACAGTGATTTTCGTGTCTGCCACTCCCTTCATGCAATCCCCATATGAGTTCTGGCACTTATCCGTCACCACCTGGATAGTGATGGTTTTCTATTTGGTTTTTCACCTTGGGTAGATACCTCCTCCAGTCTACTGTATATATCACTGCCAGGATTATATTCTTTCTGACAAGGTCAAATAATATTTCTTGGTTGGGCACAGTGGCTCATGCCTGTAATTCTGGTACTTTGGGAGGCACAGGTGGGCAGATCACTTGAGTCCAGAAGTTCCAGACCAGCATGGGCAACATGGCAAAACCCTGTCTCTTCAAAAAGTACAAAAAAATTAGCTGGGTGTGGTGGCATGCACCTTTAGTCTCAGCTACTTGGGAGGCTGAGGTGGGAAGACCACCTGTGCCTGGGAGGGCAAGGCATGGTCAGCCAAGATTATGCCACTGCACTCCAGCCCAGGCAACAGAGCAAGACCCAACCAAAAAAAAAAAAAAAAAAAAAAAAAAAGTGCTCAAAAGTCACATAAGAGTCTCAATCCTTTTATTTTCAGTTGTATTTCTCCTTACATCCTTTTCGTGTGTCTTTGTTTCTTTATGTGAAACTCAATCTACTCATCATTCTCTTAATATTGTCTTCTTCCACTGTTATAAGCAGAATAATGGTCTCCTAGAGATGTCCTAATCCCTGAAACCTGTGAATATGTTAGGTTAGATGGACTTGAAGATGCTACTCAGCTGACCTTAAAATAGGAAGACGATCTGGATTTCTCAAGTGGGCCCAATGCAATCCCAGGGGTCCTTAAAAGTGAAAGAGGAAGGCAGAGGAGAGGAGTTAGAGGGGGATGTTATTGCAGAAGACCATGCAGAGAACTCCATCCACCATTGTTCATTTTGAAGGCGGAGGAAGGGACCATGAGCCAAGGTATGTGGATGGCTTCTAGAAGCTGGAAAAGGCAAGGAAATAGGGTTATTTTCCTACAGTATCCAAAAAGGAACACAGCCTGCTGACACCTAATTTTGCCTGTATTAGACTTTTAACCTTCAGAACTGTAAGATGATGAATTTGTGTTGTAAGGCACCAAGCTTGTAGTAGATGATTTGTTATAGCAGCAGGAGGAAACTTATACTCCTACCTTCATGCCTTTTACTCATGCTGATCATAATGTTGGAAATAATCTTCCTCTTCACAAGGAGTTACCGAAGTCTAATAAAGATGTCAAGGTCCAGTACTAATCTCACCTGCTCTAAGACTTCCCAGATTCTTACAGTCAGAATTCATCTCTCACTGTCTCCTGAACATAAGTAAAACTTTATGTTCTGTATCAGCACTTTCTTTCTTATTAGATATCTGTGTATGCAAGTGTGTGCCTAACCTCGGATTTGAGTCTCCAGGAAGTGGGATTTGTATATAATTTGTCTTTGCATCCTTCTACCTTATCTAATTCATAAAGCTTTACACTCAAGCCAGTGCTTTTTGAATCAGATTGTAAAAATGCAACACATTGGAAATGGTACTAAACATTAGAGTCCTAAATGCCCACAAGAGGGTGATATTTCCTTTAAAAAGTCATTTATATTTTCCCATGAGATGATTTCTCATGGACACCATTCAAAAATGGAAATTAAATTTTTAGTTGAAAATGAGAAAAGTTTGGATTTCAACAGTCTTGTATTTGCCATCATAATTTATGATTTTTCATATTTTATGTAATGAGAATTTCATTGATCATATAAAAAGAAAGGTTGGTATGCACATATATTGAAATAAAAACAATCTCTCTGCCTCATAGGACTTATCTAGACAGCACAGCTGCATGCTCCCAAGTGTAGTATAGGTCAATGGTGGATTGTGTTTCTTTGAGCATGGTTGTATTATGCAGTGTATTTTTGGAATTTCTTTCTGCAAGAAGTGAGGAGAAATAGGGAAATTGTACCACTTGCTGCAACTTAATTTTACTTGGAATAAAAATTATTAAAGTCAAGAATGCTGTCTCCTAGAGACTCTTGGACAAGGGTGAAATTCCAGGTCATTCAAACAACTATAAAATTAGCGGGTGAAAGCATTCCTGATACCTTGTGAGGTTTTCTCAGACAGGCAGGTTTTGAGTGTGTAAGTTCAGAAATTTGTATTCCCTCACAGTTTTTTCTTAAGACGAATTCCTTAAAACATGCCCGTAACTCAAGTGCCAATTGTCTTTAAGCACTGGATGGATAGTTTGTAATTTCTAATGTCCTTTCCTTAGAACTTAGCCGAGGTTACCTGTTCTCTTCTCAATGCTGAATTCATCATGGCTCTGTGTTCTGGAAAGATCAGGAAGTGGGAAGTGTGTGGACACACCAAATTAGCTGGTTTCAAAGTGGGAGTGGATTGACAGTTTGAGAGCACACATCAAGCTATAAAGGCAGGGTGGAAGGTAATTTAAATTCAGCTGCAGTGCATGAGGTTGTTGGATTCATCCTCTTAGGTATGCAGCATTAATCTTCAAACTAATCCAGAACCATTGTTTTATATTTGAAATCTTCCATGCCACAATGAAACTATGACAGGACAAAAATAAATAATAAATAAATCAGACTTGTTTGAGTAACCTATCAATAACTGTCTCCAAATATTTAAAGAACTTTCAGATAGTGAAGGCAGAAGATGTTCTCATCCAGTGTCTATTTTAGGGCAAAACTAGGACCTTTGGGCAGACGTTGGGGTAGGGTGGAGGGAAGGGAATAGAGCTCATTCAAGATTACCAAGCACTGTCTCCCAACAAGAGCTGTGAAATCATGGAGTGTGCTTCTGATAACAAAAAGCTTTCGTCAAATGGCCAGATAATCACTTTTTAGTGGGAGATTGTTTGGGAAGTAGTATTAGGTAACCAATGTTATATTTTTTTCTACCAAATCTAAAATTCTGTGATCTTATCAAAAGGATATATAAACAATCCCTTTACGAATTCTTTATTTCTCTCAAATTCAGAAATGTGTCAACTTTTTCCTTAAGGATAACACAAATTTTAAAATTATTAAAGCAGATATTTACCTGCTTTTACCATGAATTAGATAAATTTCTCAACATGAAAACCAAGATGGCATTCAGAATGTAATAGTTGAAACTAACTTAGCCTGGGAATGTGTTGGTTGCATAGGGATTGCCCTATATCAGAGTAGTGAATAACTATTGAGAGCATGTGAAGATGCAGATAGACAGGGATAGGCAAGTACTTTTGACCATTCCCAAAGACAGAGATCACTAGCTCTCTTTTTACCACTTTTAGGGTTCTCTTTGTTTGCCTGCACTCCTTGAGAAAATCAAAATCATCCTTCACGTTGGGTAAAATAATGCATTGTTGTAAAAGTTGGATTTCAGTGCTGATTGTTCCTATAAAGGAGAAATTAGTTGTCAAATGTGGACATTCAGTTCCCAGCTATCTATTGTATGAGTTGAAATGAATTGTCAAATTTGAATATTCAGTCCCTTGCTATCTCAAATGTAGACAGCCGTGATTTCCCCATGTTGGGAGTGTTATTGTCCGTGTCCTCTGTCTCCTTGAGTTATTACATTCATGTGTAAACATGTAGGACAGAATTTTCTATTTTTTAAAGTTATGTCACCACTTGGAATGGTTTGCAGCACTAACTGCTTTATCACCTGGCCAGCAGCAGCAAATTGCTCTGGGACATTTAATCTTGCAAAGTGATTGGAGTCACATTTTGCCATCATTCCTGAATAGCAAGACATGGTGTCATTGAAGACACCTCCTGGCAAAGAAGGTGTGATTTTCACAGGACAGTGCTGATGACTTTTTAATTAAGATTCTCGTCTTCAGCCTGCTGCCTTACCAGGTGAGTTAGAAGAAAACTGAGAGTGTGGGAGTGCTTGGGAAACAGGAGAGCCCTTGCTAATTGGAGTTAGAAATATGAGAAAAGTGGCCAGCAAAGCCTCTGCAGAGAGAAAATAAATATTCGTGCCGTGTGGAGGTGGGAGTTAGAGAGGGTGGTAGCTGATATGAAATAATCTATTATTGCACCTTCCTCACTAAGTTAACAGGGCTCTTGTGATATAACAGGAGGCATCAGCCTATTCCCATCAAAGAGAATGCAAGTTTTATGAACAACATTCATTTAACAGAACTATATAGGTAAAAACTTCTCCTTGTCAGCAGGATGTATACTTGTTAGTTAATACTTGAAGTCAAATACATTGATTTAAGCTCGAACAGCCCATTCATGTTCTATGAGTCTCATTTTCTTCATTTTAAAGTGGAGGTAATATTTGCCTAATAGTATTGCCTTGCAAGTTAAAGTAAATGGAATAATGCATGAAAGCTCTTAGCCTAGTATTCTTCATATGGGAAGTAATCAGTAAATAGAAGTAAATAGTATCTTCAGAACCAAAGCGAAAGAGCCCACAGATTACCAAAAACATTGTCTTCATTTACTGGGACAGCCCATATCGAGTGTCTATGTTTGCGGGGAAAGGGACTGTGTAGTCTTAATTTAATAACTTTCTTTGCTTTGGAATACTCACTTAATGTACTGTCTGTGCCTTAATTTATTTACTTTTCCAGAGTATGATAATACCAACTCCTCAATTACCTTGTAGAGAAGTAAAAAAGTAGAGATTATAAATCTATGTAATATTTCCATTTGACTAAAGCAGGGCATTTAAGGAAAACTACAATGCGTTTCCCCAGAAAGATCTGAAAGACAAATATGAGGTTTTCAGCTCAAAATCAGATCTCATGACTTCATTATTGAATTTGTGCCTAACATAGATCATAATTTTTGTATCTTATGAAAGGAACAAATATCAAAATGTGATACAGCTTTAGGTATATGTTAGAGGCCCTTTCTTGGTTGTATGGGAATAATGGAAAGGACACTGGACTTCTTGCCCTTCTTCGATGCATGTCACATAATTATTAAGCCACTCCTCATCTTTCGGGTACAGTTGATGAAGGATGTTGTAAACATAGAGCTGGACAAATCACTGGTCTCAGTACATACTTTTTAATTTTGATTTTGAATGACTTTCCACCTGAATATTAAGTAGAATTATGAACAAACATTCATCCAGGAGCTAAGAACAAAAAGTACATAAATACAACTAGTAATTGAGGAGACAAACATATATTCAAATAATTATAGTTCATTGAGGCAGGTACTAATGTCGGTCTGTGTGAAATGGCTTGTGAGCACCTCAGGATGGTATTGGACATTAGAGAAAAACTCTTTTAAATATAGTTTTGAGGCTATAACATAAAATCTTAGGTAATTTATTCATTAACATAACAAACATTTATTGAGCATCTCTTCTGCAGGTCATGAAACCTTTTTGACCTAGGGGCCTTGGCCATGGATCCTGATATTGAGATAATGGTCTAGCGGGGGAAGGAATATGTACGTATGTGTACTTAGTGTAAAGAATGAGCATAGGCCAGGTATGCTGGCTCACGCCTGTAATCCCAGAACTTTAGGAGGCTGAGGTGGGATGATCACCTGAGTCTAAGAGATTGAGATCAGCTTGGGTAACATGATGAAACCCTATCTCTACAAAAAAATGCAAGAAACTTACCTAGGCATGGTGGTGCCTGCCTTTAGGCCCATAATTGGGAGCTTGGGGTGGGAGGATCACTTGAGCCGACGAGATGGAGGCTGAAGTGAGCTGAAATCACACCACTGCACTCTAGCCTGGGCAACAGAGCAAGACTTTCTCAAAAATAAATAAATAAATAAATAAATAAAATAAAATAAAAATAATGAGCAGAGTTGGTATGGCACTGACTTGTGAAGCACAGCTTAGCAGCATTGGGTGAGAACACCACCTCCGAGGCCTTGCATTTGTATTGTGTGTGTATCACTTAGGCATTGAATCAACTGTTTGGGGTTGAGTTCCCATTTTGTAACTATAAAAACTAACTCAAAGAGATTTAAAGATTAGTCTTAACTTCATACGGCAAGTTATCAGAGATCTCAGCACTTGAACCTGACTTCTCAATTCTAGTACCACAGGGCCAGTTCCTCCATCACTGCTGTCTGTTCTACCCCTCCCCCCGAATACTGAGTTGTTGCTTGAGAAGGAATATTCTGTGACCTTGTCCTGCAGCTAAAGGTAACAGAAACTGTTTAGCTGCTAACAACCTTTTCATCTCACATTTATTTCAAGCTCTAAGATCCAAGTAATAACTATACCAAATTTCTTGAGCAAATGAATATTGCTATTGACTTATTTATGTCACAGAAGGTTTGATTAAAAGATTTCACAGGAATAGGGAATTGAGGAATTAGGCAGTGTGCATTCTCCTCTCAGCAAATAGAAGACACTGCATGAAGCTAGTAATATTTTAACAAAGCATTCAGTGAGGTTTTTTTAATAATTAAAATGAATTATAACACCTTGTAAACCAATGTATAATATTGGGGAAAATAAATGAAAGATTTTTATCTGTATCAACTCAAGTTCCCCAGTGGACCTTAAAGAAATGAATACCAAAAGAAAAATAGCAAAAGCATCTAAATTTTGCTATAGCATATGCTATTACTTTACACCTTTCTCTTGTTAGCTTTTCCTTGTGTTTTTTCTTTTTGTTTTTCCTCCTTCATGGTTAAGAAAATTAATATTCTAAGATCTAGCAAAGCTATTGTGATGCAGTAGACCACAACCACTTCTTTGTTTCCCTTAAAGAATTACACAAACACATACTGGTAAAGACATCTTTTGCCTGGTGGCTATTATAAAACGTGATGTTTGGTGAGTGTTTAAAGACCCATTGAGTTATTAAAAGAGGAAGCTGCCATTACATTGAGATATATTAATGCCTTATTGTGGTTTATTGCCAACCATGTCATGACTAAATAAATTAAAATAAGCAGACATCTCAGTGTTTTCTATGTGAATCAGTACTAGACAGGTAAAGCTGTTACATTTTCTTAGTTCATATCTTTAGGAAGTTAAAATAACAAGAACAAACTGAAGGGAACACAGTCTGTAAGTATATAATGTTTAAATTAAGTTGCTACTTATGTAGAAATGAAAGATCAAATCTGTTGTAAGAAGGCAAAATAATCTTGATCTGTATATTTAGGAGATCTCATCAGAAGAACACCTATTATTCCCATAGGTAGGCAAACTCTCATGGTGAAGCAGTTGTGTAGCGGTTGTGGGCATAGGTGGGGAACCTCCACTCACAAGAGGAGAAGGTTTGGTGAGTATCAGTTTAGGAGAATAGCCCACAATAATGGTGTGATGAGTGATTTCTGGAGACATGAGTGGGTTGGCAGAATGAGTAGAAAACTGATAAGTAGTCTTAACCTGGGATGAATGTTGGAGTGGGATGAAGGTGCAAAAAAAAGCCTATTCAGAAAAACACTGAGAAAAATGTGAGGCTTTGGATTTTGACGCTGAGTGCCCTGGTAAGCAACCAGGTAAACTATAACTTTGTGTTTTTAGGGGAAATTAAGACTGACAAAAATGATAGCACACTTATGGGAAGGGATATGGGAAATAGAGACCATTCTGGGGGCAAAAAAAGTAAATAAAATAGGGCATGCCGTTTCTATCACCATAAAGCCCCAAGATAAATTAAAGTGAAAAATATTTTTTGTTCAGAAACCCTGAACAGAGAATTCTCTTGAAGCTCAAAAGAGGAAAAGTGACTTACTTAAAACCATAGAAGTATTTAGTTGCCAGGATGAATAGAGAATGCAGGCTGCTTCTCACCTTGGACATTATCATATGTTACTTGGCCCGACATGAAGGGTAGTGAGTAGAGAGTGGGAAAGAATGATAGATGAAAAATAAAGATCCCAGGATGAAAGCGTTTCATCCAAATTTTGGATTTTCCATAGGTGGTCAATGACACCAGGTGGGAGTAACAAAAACAAGTCGTAGAGGCGCACCAGAGTTGGTCTTATCGGACTACCTGAACAGTAAGCTAAGTAAAATAGAATGCGAAAATAATATTCAAGTTGCCAATTGTAGAATGTAATGTTTCTTTAAATGTGATTACACTGATAATAGATGAGAGAACTTCCAAGAAGCAAGTGAACCAATGACCTTGATTACAAGGGAAGATGCCAACCTCAGCTGACAATGCAGGAGAAATGAGAGATAATATAGTATTTGGAACATGTCTAGGGAAGTCACCTGGGGATGACCTAGAGGACGGGGAGGGGAGAAGAATAACAGCACTGAAGAAAAAGAGCCAGTTAGAAAAGGCTATTGCAAATTAGTGAACCCAGATTTACTCTAGAAGGTAAGTTCCATGAAGACAGGAATTTTTGTAAGCTTTATTCACTGCCATATCCACAGCTTTAAGAATAGTGGCTGGCACATGGTATGCATCCAGTAAGTATTTGGGAGGCGGAATGGTGAGAAAATCCCTCACATAATTTTTTTGCATGCACTGCACATTGACACCCATTATTAAAAGATACATTCTTAATATATTTTTATGTTGAAAGAATTCCCTTTACAAGCTGAAGAGTCCCCTGCAGCTCTAAGAATTATGTGAAGCACATCTAATCATTCACCTTATTAAGTCAGTGTTCTCAACTGAGGGCACTGAATGGTAGAAGGTTGAAACAACCATGATGATTACATTATTATATTCCATTTGTTTTGAGGCATTCAGTAAAAATCTAACATATGTGCAAACAATTAACAATATAACAGTGATATTTTTGGCTATTTACAGAGTGTGGGTAGATGTGTGTGTCTGTGTTGCTGTAACAGAATATGTGAGACTAGGTAATTTATTGACAGAAATGTATTAATTTATTAACAGAAACTTATTGGCTCTGAGTTCAAGGGGTTGGCATCTTGTGAGGCCTTTCTTGCTGTGTCCTCCCATGGCAGAAGGGCAAAAAAAAGCAGGAGAGCAAGAGGAGGCTGAACTCATAAGAAACCCACTCCTGGAATAACAGCATTAATCTGTTCATGAGGACAGTGCCCTCATGACCCAAACACCTCCCATTAAGTTCACCTCCCAACACCACTGAATTGGAGATCGAGTTTCCAATACAGGACCTTTGGAGGACACATTCACACCATAGCAGTGTGCACATGCACTATAGGATGTTATATCCAGATGTACATCCATCCATTTACATCCATGCAATGTGTTCATAAGAGATATTACCAACTGTAATGTTCTGCTTTATATTCTACTCACCCTTTCCTAGTTGTTTACTACAGTTCTTAACCATGTCTATTTTCTGATCCTTCATATATGCAAAGACAAAAGAATTGTTCCCTTTTGTTTGATACTGTTTTTATTTGTTTTTAATGATTTTTCCATTTATGTAGCTACCTCAGCAGAACATCAGAAGATAATACTTTCTACCACCCAAAATAGAGATAGCAACTGTTGAGAGGTGGACTGTATAAATATGAGAAAAAGATCATTCCAGATATGATGTATATGATATACATATAATTATATATGTAAGTTATAATTACTATCGTAGTTGATTTTGTACACTTTAAATATTCCATAATCTTCTCTATTTTTACTGGCCTATCCTCCAATAAGGGTGAAGCTGTGGGACTTCCTCTGCGTCAGCAACTTTGGAGGCCCCCTGTGGTGACTGGCACCATCACAGCCTGGCAGGATTGGGGATTCTTGAGTTCTGGATAGAGGAGGGGCCCCTCTGACCTGCTTAGAACTGTATTTGAGCAGAAAATAACCTCTCATTGCATGAGGTCACTGCGATTACAGTAACTAAAATAATAAATTCCCTTGACTAACAAAACTTTCTATAAGGCTTTAGTGAACTGTTCTACTTCACAATAGTGGAAAAGAGGCTCAGCAAAGGAGTGAATCATGCACATCCCCTTAGGTGGGGCATTCATAATCTGAGTGTCAGTAGGTGGGTGAGGTCATTCATTACGTAAATCACTTAAATCCTGGGAGAGTACGTTGTAAAAAGGAAATGGGGGTTGATTTCAGTGGTTCTCTCTGGATGAGTCTCAGAGGCTTTAGCTGGGCCTTCAGTATTTACGTGAATAGTAGTAAATACTCTGGGATAAGGGAAGGAGCATCTCTGTTTTGTTTTGCTTTTATTTTTCCTTGAACTTGAAGAAAAGTATTAAAGAAGTAGGAGGTGAATGTGGGAGTCCAGACTTGGTACTATCAGTATCAGTCAAACTGGGGGGACCTCAGTGAGACAGAGGGATAAAGGCGGAAGGAGAGCCAAATCTGTGTCTGCTGAATATCCGTTTTTCTCCACATTCTGCCCTTTTTTGTTAGGCATGTCTACACAGCAGTCAAGTGGAGGCCAAGAAGGGGACCTAAGAACAGCCACCATGGCCACCCAGAGCCTTGACACCTGCTTGCCTGTGCTGGCTCTGTCCGGGGACTTGAACTTTGGGCCTCTCTGTACTTGTGTACTTGATTTGTGTGAACTCCCACCTTCTACAGCCCTCAGGCTTATCTTGTGGCTGTAGCCTTTCGCAGTGATTTCCCAAAGGAACCGAACTATAACTGCTTTTGCCAGTACTGGCTTCTCTCAATGGGCTTATGGGAAGAGAAGGGGGTTGGAGGTACATGTCAACACCTTTTTCCAGAATTACTCATCCTGAAAACCATCTGACTACTTTGCATTGTGTTTTAACAAGGGGGTGGGGACAAATTGATTTGGATCCAAATTTTTTGTTTTGAGTTAAAAAAAAAAAAAATTACAGCATAGATGCATCTTCTTAAGACTTTACTTATGACCATAATGACCCATCTCCTTTTCTGTTCTGTGGATCTGTGGGAAGTTTGCAACCAGTGTTAAACTTGGAGTAGAATCATTTTTTTTCTACTATGGAACATCTGTGAATCACCAGCTGGCAGGGGCTAGCGCCATCATTTTCAACTAATGCTTACTGAGTACCCACTAGGTTCTTGGTCTGAAATAAGCAGTGAAGTTACTATATTGAAAGCCTTTTGAGGACAGTGCTTTTGTCATCAGTGACTCTATCATCTGGTAGTATCTTGCACACAAAAAGACCGCAATTAACAACATCTCTTGCTCTGGATTTAAGTCAGTTGTATTACGTGAAAGCTGGAATAATTCTCTTTGGCTCAGGATTGTTTGCTGTCTTCTGCTGTTGGGTTAGGGCCATTATTTCTGCAGTTGCCTTTTAACAAGTGAGCCTTCAGATGACTCTACTGCAAACAAAAGTCTGGGAACTGAGTTGGGCAATGGACCTTCACAAGCACAGTGGAATAGGCAAAATACCACTCCCGACACCAAGTTCTAATTTTGGCTATGCTATGAGGTCAACTAGACACTTCCCCTCTTTGAGTATTAGTCCGTTCATCTAGCTATAAAGATGTATAAAAACGCTTAAAAAGTTTTCTTCCGACTCTAATATTTGATGACTCTCACAACATTTTCTCAGGGAAGTATTTTATGGTGTTGTATATGATATGCCAATAAGGAGAAAGGAGATGTGTATCTTCTGTGATTTAGAACATGAACACTCTCTGGCCAACACTCTGAACCCTACCTCCAGGGTCAGAGCAGTAGTGTCTGCTCTTCTCACCACTGCCAATGAGAAGTGTCTTCCCTTCATTTATTTCAGAGCCAAGTTTTCCTCCTTTATCTTGTACCCTGCCTTCTGAAAGGCTACTGTCCTAGAGTAGCCTACAGTGACATTTCAGACCTCTCCTGAAAATTAAGGCAGCTTACCATCTATGGCAGTTCAGTCCTGTTTATTTTTCTTCTCAAAGCTCAGGCTGAAAAATAAATGAAGGATTTTGCATATATATATTTTTCCATTTCTTTCAAGCTTCACAGCCCAGGGCTTGGACATTGTGTTGTGATGCTTTGATCACCCATTCTGGCATTAATATTGATTTCCATTCTGCTTTCCCCAGCCTGCTTTGCTCCTAGACTTAGGTCCTTCTCTGCAATCTTTACATCTTATTCCTTCTGTGATCATTATAACAGGGCATTCATTTGAATCTTTATCATTGTCTGTCCATTACATTTACCAGGCAGCCTCCTTGTAGGTCCTTCTGGTCTATCTGATGTGCTGTACTTGAAAAGATACTCCTTCTCATCTTAGGTAATTTTCTTTGTGCTTTAAAAGTCATTTGCCTGCTTTCTGTGAGTCATTTCATTTAATTTTGAAATTATTCCATGGCCGAATTTGAATGTGTTCAAGCCTTAGAATGTAGCCCTTTTCTCTTTGATTAGTTTAAGAATGTCCTTTTCAATAACTTCTAGTTTGAATATTGCTTCCATAAGGCTGAGACTCATAGTATTTTATTTTCCTCTTTTGTTTTTTTTTTTTTTTTTTTTTTTTTTTTTTTTTGGTCTTTCTTATTCATTACGTGTCATTTGGATATTTACTGGCGTAGTTTTAAAATCTGCATCACATCATTGAAAATCAACCTCTGGTTTCTTTTTTCACAGAATGATTTTTATGATGCTCACTATTTGAAGATGCAACTGCTAATTATGCTAATGTTTGTACAGAAAGAATTATTCTTGAATTGGTATGTGGAGAAAATTTGGATGAATCCATGCACAGGCTATTCTGACACCCAATCGAAGACAATCATGTGTGGCTACTAAGTAACATGGAAAGGAAAAAAAAATGTTTATAAAAATCAACTGAAAAGTAAAAATTCGTCTAAAGTCTCATGGCCCCTAAACTTAAGATTGCATATTTATTATGTAATTTTTACCAAATAACCACTAGATAACACTCAGTGGTAATATTCAATACATAGTGCAACTTAGAAAAAATATGTAGGAAGTCTTGAATGCTTGCTGGTGATCACAACAAACAAAAGCAGTGACCACTCTTACTGAGTTTCTATTTATATTTTTTTTCTCAAAGCTACTGGTTAAATAGGAAGATAATCTTAGGGCATTATTATTGGTAAATAAAAGTAAATGTTCAGGATGGATTTTGAATCCCATGCTAGGGA